CATTTAAATAAATTTAAAAAATTTCATTCCTTAATTGTGATTTGATTTTAAATAGATTTTACAATTTAATTATTATATTATCTATTAATTACCAACATAGAAAATAAAAATTTAAGAAAAACAAAGAATAAATTGAAAATGTAAAAAATGTTTTGATCCGGTTGATTGAGTTGACCGAGTTGAATGGGTTTCACTAGTTTGATCGGGTTTTGACCAAGTTTGACCTCCAACGGATAAATATCATAAACCGACCCGTTTATAGAATTGGTTTTTGGTTCAATTGATTGAACTGACCGAGCCAATCCAGTTTGAAAACAGTGTTTGCAACCTTTATGCACTAGTTGCTATGTTTTCCCATTTCTTTGTCTATCACACATACTTATATAATTACTATTATTACCTTAATAATGATTTAATTTACTTAAAATCTTAATTGTATTATTCAGTTAAAGATGATAGATGATCGTCATTGGATGTATAGACGATGAGGTCCTCGTGGAGATTGTGATGCCGAATTCTTAATGGATTACAACAATTTTTTGATTTCATCTATAGTCGTCTTAGTGTTCACTTGAATGTCGAAATTCGTTGCCCCTGTAGTAAATGTGGAAATTTACCTCACCACAACAAGGCAACTATAACAGACCATATGTTGAGATATGGCTTCATTGATGCATATTCTGTGTGGTGGGCACATGGTGAAACTTTAAGTAACAATATTGATCCATGGTTAGCTACAAGTGATGTGGCATCCTCAAGTAATATTGAGGAACATGTTAATATTGAGGAACATATTAATACTGAGGATGATATCCATCACATGGTTTATGATGCATTATGTCCATCTGAAAACGATCGCCCTAGAAATGAAACAGAGTTTGCATATGAAAATGTTGGGGACGCGCCAAATAGACATGCACAATCTTTTTATGACTTGTTGCGTGCTTCAACCATCCCACTTGGACCATCATCTAACTATCAAACATTACTTGGATGGTTATCATATATGCTACACTGCAAAGCCAAAAACAACATAACTGGTGTTGGTTACAATGACATCATTCAAGGCTGTAGGCAATTGTTAAATCTAGAAGATCAGCAAAAAGTACCGTCAAATTTTTATGAAGCAAAAAAATTCATGAAAAAATTAGGTTTAGGCTATGTCAAAATTGATGCATGTGTCAACAACTGCTTTCTATATTATGGTGATGAGGCAAAGTCACTTATTGCTTGTCCAGTTTGTGGTGAACCTAGGTATAAAAAATGCAACTCGATTAAAACTCAAAAAAAGGGTAAGCCTAGGAATTCTGTGGTATTTACCCATTATTCCACGCCTACAGAGGTTGTACATGTCTCGTAAAATTGCTAAGTATATGACATGGCACCTTAAATGTCGTGTTGACTCAGAAATCCTCATTCATCCTGCTTAGTCTACTGCTTGGAAGCACTTTGATGTCGTTCATCCTTCTTTTGCATCCGATCCGCGAAATGTCCGTCTTGGTCTTGCAACAGATAGGTTTAACTCGTGGGGTCATTCTTCGAGGTCATATTCCTGTTGGCCTGTTTTCATTGTTGTTTATAATCTTCCTCCTGAGATGTGCATGCAACCTGAGTTTACATTTCTTACACTTGTTATTTCTAGACCAAAAAGTCCAGGAAAAAACATTGATGTTTTCCTCCGTCCACTTATTGATGACCTGAAACGGTTATGGTCGGGGGTAGAAACATTTGACAGCTTCCGTAAACAGAACTTCACAATGCGAGCCATGCTTATGTGGACCATAACAGATTTCCCCGGCTATGATATGGTTTCTGGATAGAGCACGCAGGGTCGTCTGTCTTGTCCATATTGCATGGAAATGACTTGTGCTTTTTACTTGCAATATGGTCGCAAGATCTACTTCTTTGACTATCATCGGCAGTTTCTTCCTGCATCACACTCGTACAGAATAAATGCATCTCAATTCCTTAAGGGCCACCTAGAATTTAGCCCCCCTCTTCCACGATTAGATGGTCATTCCGTTCGACTTCAAGTTGTTGCACTACCTGATGTTTTATTTGGAAATCCATCAATAAACCAAACTATTCCCGGGTTCGATGAAACACACAATTGGGTCAAACGAAGTATCTTCTGGGAACTCTCGTACTAGGGGGATAACCTGATCAGACACAATCTTGATGTCATACACTGTGAGAAGAATTTTTTTGACAACATCATACACACAGTCATGAATGACTCGTCCTCAAAAGACAATGTTAAGTCAATAATGGACTTACCATTGTACTGTGATAGGGAAGAACTACCCTTGTACTATGACAGTTCTGGGTCGCTTTGCATGCCAAATGCAAGTTATGCACTTGACACGGATAAAAAAAGATGTCTATGTACATGGCTCAAAAATGTGCAATTTTCAGATGGGTTTGCATCTAACATCGCACGTTGTGTGAACTTAGCTGAGCTATGCTTAGTTGGATTGAAGAGTCACGATTGCCACATATTCATGCAACGCCTCATTCCAATTGCTTTCCGTGGCTTGTTACTAGATTCTATATGGGGTCCATTAACAGAAGTAAGTAATTTCTTCCGTGCACTATGTTCCCCAAATGTCAACATAAAAGACATGGCAGTTTGGGAAGCGAAGATAGTTGAAATAATATGTAAGTTAGAAAGAATCTTTCCGTCGTCATTTTTTCATTGTATGGAGCCCCTAGCAATCCATCTTCCTTTCGAGGCGCGAATTGGTGGGCCAGTACAATTTCGATGGATGTACCCATTTGAACGGTAATGGAAACAAGTTTGCACTAGTTTCATGCACTAGTTTCAAGTATAACAGAATCTATAATAATTTGTTGTGCTCATATCTAATTTCAAATTTTACAGACAAATGCACAAACTTAAACAAACAATAGGGAACAAGAAACATGTTGAGGTATCTATTGTCGAAGCATACATTCTCAATGAAATAACAGGATTTTGCTCACGATATTTTGGTGCGGATCTTGAAACAAGTTGGAGTAAGCCCCCAAGGAACTTTACAGCAATTCCATTTTATAGGAACATAGAATTCTCAATATTTGTGTGCCCTGATCATCCAATGGGTTCACATTCACAAACACGCTGTTTAACCACTCAAGAGATGAAGGCAGCTAAACTTTATGTCCTACTAAACTGTAGGGAAGTTGATGCGCTTCTTAGATGAGATATGACAAATTAAACTCCTTTTTATTAAATTTTTAGAGTAAGCTTGCTGAATCATAGTAGGAAAGTTCAACATTTCATTTTTTGGTCACACATAATTGTTTCCATATTTCAGCATCTTTGATCGAGAAGTTGGTGTATATATGACCCCTTTTACTCCACACTAAGCACGCACTAGAAGTTTTGTTATGTGGTTCAAAGATAGGGTAAACAATATTTTTTATCGTGTCATGTTGTTTCAAATATTATTATATACCTATACATATATATTCATATACAATATATTAACTAATTGAGTTTTTAACGAAAATATTATAAATTTGACTAATAACACATACATATAAACTTGGTAGGTGTTAAATGACTATCATGAAGGGAATGAGGTTTTGCAATACCTTACACTAGGTCCATCATGGACAGTGAATGTGTACAGAGGTTATTATGTCAATGGTTTTAGATTTATGATCCCAAAAGCCAGTAGTGAAAGACAAACATATAACTGTAGTGTATGTGTGAAAGGAACAACCATATCTAATGATGCTGAGACTGATTATTATGGCATCCTTAACGAAGTCATCGAACTATTGCATTATGGACCACATGCACAAATGCAAACAATTGTCTTATTCAATTGTGATTGGTTTGATACACGTAGGGGAACACGCATTAACCAAGTTTACAACATTGTTGAGGTCAACCCACGATATCAATTGTCGATCGGTGAGCCATTTTGCTTTGCGTGTCAAGCAACGTAAGTGTATTACAGTAGTTACCCATCAGATAATCAAGCAACTCATGGATGGTTCGCCGCATGCAAAATATGTGCTAGACATTTGGTCGACGCTTCTTCAACCTCACTTGATATGGAAGAAATATTCCAAGATGAGGAGCCACCATCCGCACAATCGAATAAGCATAGTTCCAATTTGGCATCTACAGAACGCGTGAATCTGCATGCAAAAGGAGCAACAATGGTTGACTTAAATGGAGATGCAAATGATGATGTTGATGAAAATCCGAGTGAAGGAAATGAAGGATACGAAATAAGAGGCGATGTTAGTGACGATAGTAGTGAGACTGAATAGTCGTTAAATAATTGAAGTTCATGTACAATAATAGTTTTAAAATTTGGTTGTCATTTAAAAATATAAATTTTGTGTATAAGATTTCGTAATTAACAAATATACTTATGAATGACTAATGACTATTTCTTCAAATTTTGTTTCATTGCCATTATTTATGATGTTGTAAATGTTTATAAAAAGAAAATTTATAAACTGCACATATATTTATTTCGTGACATTAGTACTGACATACTTTATGTGACCATATGTTTTGCAGGATGTAGGATGGGCCCATCAACTCCGCGCATAGTTGCAGCACATCAGGGAGACGAGGACATCACAACTCTGTAGATCTTGCATGTGACGTTACCCCAGTATTGGACACAGGGCATACTCGGTCTATTAGTCCACAAGGTTCTATTCATGCAGCAACCTCATCCCATAATGAGAAGTAGAAGGGAAGAGGTCCAAACAAACCAAAAAGGGCTGCAAGCCTGCAAGAAGACCAGATGAAAGACCATTTATACAAATTTCGCATAAAGGCACCTTCTTGGATGTTGAAGTCCCTAGATTGATTACGACCCTATGGAAGAGGGTTTATGATGGTGATTACTTCACCTATGACTTGTTCTCAGAACAGAAAAGGCTGCAAGTGTGGGAGTTATTTAAGGTAAGAGTAATTATCATTTCATACATAATCCTTCCCTCACATATGTAGCGTATGATTAATAATAACGTAACAATATATATGATAAAGTATAAGTCACTATTGTTGGTGTATTGGTCGATACAGGTAATTTAATGGTATGAGTACTGCCTACACTTAAAAAAAAAAAGAAGAAGAAGAAGAAGAAGAAAAGAAAACAGTCATCATATAACTTTGGTAAATAATATGGTATCATAATAGTCATCATATGACACAAAAATCTTTATAATTCTAAGTTTGTCAATAAAGTATTAAAAGTTTTGATTCGTTTTAATTAGCTCTTTCGTATGGACAAAATGGTAATTAAGTATATACAAAAAAATGAGATATGATGTATATACATGTGTTATTATACTACATGTTATTAAGTTACATGGAAATAATTTATTTGTATGTGGTGACAGACACATTATCAATGGGGTTTAAAGGATGAGGATGCAATCTGAAAGGCGTTCTTAAGATCAATGAAGAAAGGATGGGGTGATAATATGAAGGATGAACGGGATAAGTGGCGTGCAAACAGTGAGTATAGGCTGGTATGGGTGCCTGAGCACCTATGGCCTACATTATGCGCTTATTGGGATTCTGCTGAGTTTCACAATCTTGGCGAGAGGGGGAAGAAAAACCAAGCATCTAGGGAACGAGTTACACACACTATAGGATCAGTGAGTTTTGATGTACATGAAGAATGGATGGAAAGTAAGAAAAGAAAGAAAAGTGTATATATATAATAGATAATGAACACAAGTTCTATTATTTTTGTATAATTATCGATTAACTATAAATATAATAACTTGCTAACCTCGTATAATATGGTTGTGACACAGACCAAAGCTGCTGGGGGGGTAAGGCCAGCACACCAAGAGCTATATAAGGAAACACATACTTTACGAAAAGGTGTCCCCCAAGGACAAGAAGCTCCATGGTGTGGCGACAAACATAAGACTCGGCATGTAAGTGCGAACATACTAAATAAAAAGATTTCTATGAGTGACATACATTGTTAGAAAAAGTGAATGAAAGGTTTATTAATAAAGTTAGTGGTGTTAAATAAAACATAACAAAAATTTTGCATGAGTAAGTATTAGTATGTGTAGGTGTTAATGAATCAATTTTGTTTGGGTATTGATTGTCTCTCGCTGATTGTTATTTTGTTATCACGTGTTCGTAAATAATAATGATTACATTTTCAGCATTGTTATGTGTATACAACATTTAAAAATTTACAGTTATATGTTGTAGTTTTTTTTTTGCATTACTTTTGTAGGATACGTATGTTAGTGAGTGCTCTGCTACATATGGCTCGGACTCAGCATCATGGCCACCTCGGGACAATGATGCTTGGGCAACTGCTGTTAGGGGATGCCACAGCAATTTCATGCTAGGAATTGGTTCACAGGTAAACCCAGAGGAACTTGGGTTTACATATAGAAAACGACAACCAACGGGGACTTCATATGTGAGCCTAATGATATCAGATATGGCTGAAAAACAAGCCAAAGATAGGGAGGCAATGCAAATGATGCGAGATGAAATAGGGCAAGTCAAAGAGCAACGAGAAGCAATGCAACGGATGTTGGAAGACATGGGGAGGATGCAGGCATCTCTATCGTAGCAATTTGCTGATTTTAGTGCCTACGAGATGCGCCCGCCTAGTGTTACACCATCATTGCCTCACACTGGGCAAGCATTTCCTCCTGTAGGGACATCATTCCCTATTGCTGGGCCATCGTTTCATGCTAGTGGGCCATCATTTCCTCATGCAATGCCAATGCAAATGCCAATAGAACCTGCATTCCCCATGGGCCAAATGGGGAGACAATCAAGATCTCCAGGTACATCTTCAGTCAATCCCCCACAAGATGATTATGGTTACCAGCCGAGATTTGATGCAGATTACCAAGGTCCATTTGGGCCGGAATGATCAGTGTGCATGAGGTTGCGAATGCAAAACTTGGCATGTTCTTGATACTTAAGGAAAATACTTTTAGTTTCTGGGTTTGTGATTTCAACTTGTTAGGACATTGGTGTATATGTCAGTTGGAATTGAATGGTTTGTGGTAATATTAACTGTATTATTATGACTTGCAAGTTTAGAATATGTAAATGGTCATGTTAAATGTTGCAAGTGGTACTTATATACTTATCTTTTAATTTATGATTATGAGATGAGGGAATTATATAAGTGGTACATATTTATAATAATGTGATGAATTGAAAATATGTGATATGATAAATGACATTGTATGTAATGTGATATGGTAAAATGAAAGTGTAGTAAGAACAAGTACAAAAGTTGGAGCATGTTAGAGAGGTTCGAGCATTTCAGGCATGTTAAAGTTGACTATATACATCAAGAATCGACTATCAACCCTCCAAGAGTCGATTGTATAAGAGCAACATTGGACTCCCAAATTCCATCGAGCATGTGCTGCAGGTTAAAGTCGACTCTGTACATAAAGAGTCGACTCTAACTCTTCTAAGAGTCAACTATATAAAAGCAACATTCGACTCCCAAATTCCAGAGAGGTTCGAAAATCATGCTGCATGTTAGAGTCGACTCTATGAATGAAGAGTCGACTCTAAATCCTCCAAGAGTTGACTATATAAGATCAACATTCGACTACCAAATTCCAGAGAGGTTCGAGCATCTTGCTGCAGGTTAGAGTTGATTCTATGAATGAAACGTCAACTCTAAACCCTCCAAGAGTCGACTATATAGGATCAACACTCGACTCCCAAATTCCAGATAGGTTTAAGCATCCTGCTGCAGGTTAGAGTGGACTCTATGAATAAAGAGTTGACTCTAAATCCTCCAAGAGTAGACTATATAGCATCAACATTCGACTCCCAAATTCCAGAGAGGTTTAAGCATCATACCGCAGGTTAGAGTCGACTCTATGAATGAAAAGTCAACTCTAAATCCTCCAAGAGTCGACTATATAGCATCAACATTCGACTCTCAAATTCCAGAGAGGTTCGAGCATCTTACTGCAGGTTAGAGTTGACTCTAATGCCTCCAAGATTCGACTGTGAAAGAGCAACATTCAACTACCAAATTCCAGAGAGCAAAGAAAGTTCCCAGTGGTGGGTATAATCGACTATGTTCTTTTAAGAGCCGTCTCTTTTGGGAAAAGAGTCGACTCTTATATTAAAAGTCGACTAAGGGCCAAAAATTGCAATAAGTTTATGTGAAATATTTATGTACCATGATATACATGTTGATACATATTTTTAAATAAATTAGTGTTTTAAATTATTTATATATAT